CCAGAGAACATAGCCAGTACCAAGTACAAATTTTCATTCCCAAGAACAAAAAACACTATGTACAAATCTACCCTTTGAGCCCAAGTGCAGAAAAAGATAAAGAACAAAAAACACTAAAGGACAGGTCTGCAGGAGCACGAGTGGCGATAGTCTCAGGTTCAATCACACACCTGAGGGCCTGAGGGTTCCGTTTCCGGAGCACCGTCGCCGTGCCTCCAGGATTCCTGCATGGAGTCGGGGACCAGTGCGAGGCAACCAGTGCGCGGGGACGGTTACTGAGCAAGCTAAATCGCAGGCGACTTACATACTCCTACAGGCGCTGGCTGTCCCGCTCGACTGGCAGCGTGGGAAAGACTCCCCGGAGCGGAATCCTTGCAACCTTGACACGGCAGTTCCGGGCTGGTTCTTTTGAACGGTGTGTTCGAAACATTTCGCCTCGGGAAGATGTTACGCCGTTACGCTATGTACCACACCCCATTGCGCGACCTTGGATTTCCCGTGTGTGTCCCCAGTTGAAAGAAGTGGACCCTCGCTCTTTGCCCGTACCTTGCACAGCCCGTTTCCGAACACGGCACCAGTTGGAGCCTCTTCCTCAGCTAGCAGAAACCCAAACTTGGGTGTAGAGTGTAGGGTTTTTGGCAATGGGTATTGAATGCATTCTCCTATCCCCCCAAGTTTGCGCAAGGAGAACACCAAGAAGCTGGATGTGGCCTTCGACGCGAGATGAAACCAAACCGGGTCGGCCAGTCGGGAATATTGAGATAATTAATGCTTCTACCGTCTACCTAACATGTTTCAGTGTGTTTCAGTCACGCACTTCAGAGGGATCAAGTAGTTTGACCTGGAAGACTGCAGTTCTGTCGGGATGTTGGAGCAACGCGCACCCGTGTAAGTTGGACCGTTGGGGATGCTTCTGACGCATCGACCCATGTTCACAAACATTATTCACAAGCTTTTTGCCTTCATGTGTTGTCGGGGCAGACCCAGTGACACAGGTCTAAACGTCATTCCGCACTCGTTGTGACATTTCCCGCAAGAATTGCTGTTAGCTGCCCTGGCCTGAGTCCGACACACCGAGTCGACACTCCAAGTTTAGTCGAAGCTTCTGGCAGGTCTCCCACGAGCGATTTCCTCCAAGTTACGGCCCGCAACTTGGCTGCCGTAGCAGGGATCTACCGACTTCTGATTTATTTTGCGGGTGCTTTCAGTGCTGGTGCCGTACATACTGTTTGCATGTCTTAAAAAGCTGAGCTGCGACTCAGGGACTCATGCAGTCTATGTTCCTGGTGTTTCGCACGAGATCGCGCGACTACGTTTCGATATCAGCGCAATATCGTGGAGCCCAGGCGAACGTGTGCCACGCATGCATTATTTTGTCGTGGCTTCCTGTTGCGAGGCATTTACTCGACGCAAGACAAATCCCAATCAGCCACAGGACATCGTGATGTGGCCCGGTTGCACTTTTTGTATGGAGGTCAAAGATTGACTGGTTCATCAACTTGCTTGAGGCTACGACGACAGTCAGCAAAGTATGAGTTTAAGCGACTCAGGGCCGACGTCTTGGTAAAGAGCCTTCCAGCACCATTGGCTTTCCCGAGCAACCAAGATTTCGCACCGCGAAACGACCGAAAGGAACAGAACAGGACTTCCAGGAAGTACTGTGTTTCAGATTGAAGGTCAGCAGAACAAAGTCCACAAGAACACGTTAGGGTCAGCCCGTTACAATCGTCGTTGGAGCCAAACCGAAAAATAGCCAACTCTAGCCCTATAGCATCCTACGTCTTTTCACAGTCGCCTACAGAAAGTTAGAACAAGCTAGAACGTAATTACGTAGTTAATTCTCTCAGCTGCAAATGTATGGCCTTGGAGGTGACGAAAACGACTCCTAGAGACAAAACTTTCAAAACAGAGTCCCCAAAACTGTTGGGTTTATCTAAGGTTGACCCGATGCTGTGACTTAAATCTCTTGCAAGGGCAACACTCTAAGATTAGCTTGAATCTTAGGAACTCTTTGCATGGTGCAAGCCGTCTTCTTCACAGCCGGCTCACGAGCACGGGAGCTAGATAAAGCTAGATTTTACTAGAGTTTTCCTGCACTCAGGAAACCACGCTGCTACAGATGTCCTGCATTCAGCAACAATTGCTGCTAGACGTTTTCTTCATTCAGAAACCAAGCAGCTAACCTTTTCCTTCACTCCGAAACCAACCTGCTGAACTTGGGAACTGCACGTTCCGCTTCTGTAGACATGATTGTCTGAAAGTTTTCGACTAGCATTGTCTAGCATTTTCTAGCATCCCTGGTCCTCCGGGACCTAGCCGGAATCTAGCATTGTGTAGCATTATCTAGCATTGTCTAGCATTAGCATTGTCTTGCGTTTTCTAGCATCGTCGTCATGCAGAGGCCGGCATCTAGCATTTTCTAGCATCCTGGTCCTCCCAAACCTGGCCGGAGTCTAGCATTTTCTAGCATTATCTAGCATTGTCTATCTAGGTTGGCGTGGTGTTTGCATGGTGGGGCACCTGGTTTAGGGTTTAACTTTCCATTGTTGAGGCTAGAAAGCTCAGCACCTTTTTGTTTCCGGACCTCTTCGGCACATGAGCAAAGTAATTGTCTAGCTTTCTCTAGCTTTACCTAGCTTTCTCTAGCCGCCCTATTTTTCTGTGGCTGTGAACATGACGGCCGCGAAAACACCACCAATGTATTCCCTTGACTGAAAAATACAGTCACAGCTAGAACGTGTTGGAAGAAAATACACAGGCTAGATTTCGGATTGGCTGGGTACGGGATGTTGAAGCCCAAATACGTGTCTAGCAATGTGACATGTTCTGGAAAGAACACTGACGACAGTTGTCGTTGTAAAGGTCTTTTGTGTGTTTTGGGGAATCAGAACAGCTGAGACCTGGCTTGAGCTCATGCATCGTATCTTGCTGAAGACTTCAGGCTTTACCTCGGCTGCAATAGCACCATAGAGCCAACATGCCCCGTCGGAGATCCTGTTTATCCTGTTTAGTGCGATGGGTTGCTGACCAGGTTTACTGAGGAAGCATGCTTCGAGTATGACTCGGTCAAACACCATCATGCTTGCATGTCGGACAAGTGTTTACCTGGTAAGATTTGACTACGTTCCTGAGGATGTAAGTAGGGCTCCTGCTTTGTGACGCGTTCTTTTGCTCAGCAGCGCTTTTGCAGTATCGCCTTCGGGATCCTTAGGCACCATGCTCCCAGCCCTGAGCCCTTACCCAACCCGAACCTCCAATCAAGCCTGACACCATTGTTCACAGGCTCTCCATGTTTTATTGAACGGAGCCTTCTGAAGGCTTATATTTTTTAAGTAGAGAGTTCCCTGGAGAGTCATAGTCTTGCAACCCTACAATCATGAAACAACCGCCAATGGTGCAAGCTCCCGAGACACATCAAATCACCCCCAACTGGCTGATGGGCCGGCTGACGCGCTGCGCTGAGTGCGGCCGAACCGAAGAAGCCGATTTGAGCCTCGAATTGTGAGAAATCGATCTTGGGATCTACAAGCTGTATAGTGTAAAGTGGACGCGGGGTTAGCAGGTCGGGGTCATGTTGAAGTGGAAGGAACACGGTCACTTCGTTGTTGCAGCTCAGAGCCGAACATGCATGTCTCCCAGGTCATGTTCTGCAACAGTTCTGCTAGACATACCATCAGACAGCAGGGTCGAGCAGAAGCTAGCACTCGTGTTGCAAGCACCAGACAACCCACCGAGGCCACCTGATATCGCATGTTTGACACCTGGAACCTATGTCGTTTGGGGAGCTATGCTCGAGTTAAGCCGGTCTCTTCCAGCGGGCACCGTGACTTCACATGGCCACTACGATGAGCTGTGAGGAGGCTGGACGAACACGCCCTAGCAAGGCTCGGGCGGAACTTCAAGTTCAAGCGAATCTATTCGCCGTGCTTTAGATATGGGTGGTTGTCAAAATTATGGTCTCTTTTTGGGTCCTCATTATAATACGGCACCTATTATTTAGGGTACCCCAAAAGGGACCATAATTTTGACAACTACCCATATGGGGCCCTCCGAAGTTTTGTGGGAGTTGATTCAATCGGGACACCTCCCGGGTCAGTCCACGACGATCCATGGCCGAGACCCGAAGCCGTTGACCCAATCATCTGTAGCCCAGGACTTGCGCCAGATGCCGATGCGCAACTCGATCGCACAAATAAGTCGCGAATGAAGATGTTGGGCCATGCAGTCTTAGTAAATGAGGCATTTCGAGGCATTCCATTCGCTCTCGAAGTTCCTGGCTAGGAAAACAGTCCCCGAGGTGGCACGAGACAAGCGCTAAAACTTCCTTAGCAGATGCTAGCGCGTTCGCAGTGAAAGAATAGTCCTCGAAGACACTCTCTGCACTTGCCCATTCTCACTCGGGATTCATCCAAGGTCGTTTACTGCAGTCGATCGTGCCAGCGGGCCCATTGGAAGAAGCACAAGAATGAGCTGTGGAAGCAAGCATCACAGGGGTTGTTTCCATATTTCTGTATGTTGATGGCGAATTGAGAGTAGTGCACATTGAACGCAAAGATTGACGATGAGTAACAACAAGACCGTAGCCCTGCTGTGTCCGTTGTCCAAGCAAGTTGTACGTTGCGGTCTTTGCCACAAGCCCGAAATCAGATGATTTCGGCTTGCCGAGTCTGTACTGACGGCTAACCGTTTAAGTCTAATTGGAATATCAAGTGGGCGGGTGCCACGTGGGCCGTGGCCAGTGACAGGAACGGACCTACCCACACACGGCCAGACACACCCACCCACACGCACACACGTACACACACACACACACACAAACACACACACACACACACTCACAAACCCACACGCACACACCCGCACACCCCACCCACCATGGTTTTCTGTCAATCTCTTGAAGTTGGGGCATGTTGGGGCACCTGTCGGCCCCAAGGCGTCAGAAGAGCGATTGCCAAAGCAATGGAGAGGCCTGTTCTTCAACAACCTGCATGACCACCATCGCACAACGCATTGTAAGAGGTGGTTGAGAAAAACGAATCCTGCCTGCTTTGCAGAGGAAGCCCATTGTAACGCGGGCTACCCACTGTAAGCCTTAAGACCGAACAGAGCCCCTAAACTCTCTAGAGACCCCACGAGCTTGCTTGGTAAGGACTGCGCGGACCTGGCGGATGCTGTTGAACGCAAGGCCAGGCGGCAGGCGTCCAAGGCTGCCGCTGCACAATGTGCTGTCACTGGTCATGTGTATACATGACAACTTAAATACTTAAATTTATTATGTGTTCTGTTTTCTTTCCTTCCATCTGTCCTACGTTGCGGAGCGGTACCAGCTCGCTCCGTCCGGGTAAGGGGCCTGTCGGAAGGTTTCTCTTCACGATCTAACAATCCCAGTAAGGGTGGAAAGTTCCATGACTGAGATGAAGCGAAATTAACAGAGTGGGTTTGAGACGAATGCAAGGATGAATGAAATCAGCGAACGAATGAACGAGTGAATGAGTGAATAGTGAGGTGCGACGAGATGCCATGGTATGAAGTGCGAAATGCATAAATTGAATGGGGTTGTATGAAACTGAATTGAATAGGAGGAATGAATGGACATGAATGAATGAATGAATGAATGAATGAAATGAAATGAATGAATGAATGAATGAATGAATGATATTTCCTCTGTACGGGGCCATCAAAGTATGGTGTCTTTCGTGGTCCAGTGCTTTAGTGCGGACGTGTGTATTGTGTGCATTAAGTCAGTTCTTTGCGTGTCCACATGTCAGATTCTAGCTGGCAGCGCCATGATCTCCTGCTGTAACTTGTATAATCTCCGCGGGACTGGTTCTGCAGAATGCATACACAGGATGTTGTGGAATGAATGAATGAAGAATGCACGAAGAGGGAAGGAAGGAAGGAAGGAAGGAAGGAAGGAAGGAAGGAAGGAAGGAAGGAAGCTTGTGAAATGATAGAACACTGAAATGGAATTGCATGAAACGACATTGAATGGAATGCAATGGATGAGTGGATGAATGAACAGTTGGTTCAATGACATACAGTGAAGTGAAAGGGAGCAAACGGAGATTGTGGGCATGGCTGCATGCGGGAGTGAGTGAGTGCATGTATACATACCTGCAGCCCTGTGTGTGTATTTATATACACACAGAGTTATCTGTTTATGTAAACATGTACGGGCGCTGGCTTCAGGGATCTCAGCGCCTTGGCGTTTGATTTACCCGTGGTAGCGTGCAGAGGTTTCCGTCTGCGGCACTGCGGCAACAACAGACCGCCAAAAACATGCGGTGGCGAAGCCTGTATTGCCATGCAAGGAAGCATTAGCATGACACCATACACGTCTCCAAAGACTAAACGAAGGGAGGGAGGCCTGGTGAATGGGACGGTAGAAGGAGAACGGGAATCGCAAGTTTCTGACTGAGGCAAAGTGCGACCTAATGATGACAATGTTGGGCGGATTTGCATGATGCCGTCAAGCAGACAAGGTTTGGCTTGAACGTCTTCAGCAAGTTCATGCACAAGACTTTGGCCAAAACACACTTGTTGCCGTGTGAGGTGGACTGGCCGTACTAGGAAAGGCAGGCAGAGATGGAGTGGGTCCCTGCATAAGCGGTTTTCTGGAGGTTGGCAGTTTGCTAAGCTTGCTACTTTATGTGGTGAAGCTTAGTGTTTTTTGGCTGGAAGTCTCCCGTGTTTGGAAACTCCCGTTGTGGACGTGGTTGCAAGGCAGACGGCAGATACCTTGTACTGCAGTCAGCGTCAGCATAACACTCATGGACTGCCTGAAGCGGACACCGTCGGAACGCAGTGAGGCGAAAGTGCGGAAACCCACGGCATAGTGCGAACGGATGAGATGTGCAGTCGTAAAAGACTCGTTGGCTTAGAGTTTGGGGCCTTGTGTGGGCTACTTTGGCGCAGTCTGCAGAGGATAGTTCAGAGTTCCGTCAGCTGTCAGCACTCTTCGCAGGCGGCCCAGCGCTTGCTGGTGGGGCCTCAAAGCTGCATGCAGCCGATCCCACGCTCTGAGATTTCTGGACGTTTAGGAGGCAAACCGATGTCAAGAATCGATGAGAGCAGCAACCACGGTGCAGCTGCGGCAAGGTTCGAAACCTGGCTGGAGGAGCTTTGCCGACCTCTGCAGAGAATGCTTACCGCGCCACTTGACGGAGGCCAGTTCGATGAAATCGCCCCCGCCTCGAACATGGGCATTTGCTTCCGGATTCGAGCGTTTGACGCTGAGGTGCAGTAGAGTCTGCAATCTCCGCTCGAGCGATGATGGGGACCCTGCAATCTCTTTTCTTCTGTCCTCATATCGCAGTGTTCCTGTCCCTGACTAGCTGCTTGTATGCTTGAAGCAAAGGCAAGGTTGCCTTTTCCCCAGAACATCCCCATTCGAAGTGGCTTGCTGAGAGCCGTTGCCGAAGACAATTGCCTGTATCCTCATGCAGGCCTTCAAGACATAATTCTGTGCGCCCCGGCAGCCCCGCGACGCCGGCGAGTGGAGTGTGCCGGCGAGGCATTTCTGGAGGCAGGTAGGACCGGGTAGGTTAGCCCGGGATGCACAACGCCTGGAATCTGTGGGGGGTTGCTAGGTACTGGTAGGTTATTCTCGCAGCGAAGTGCGCACAAGTTCAGTCTAGCGGATCAATTCGTCATGAGGAGCACCACAGTTGCGATGGCGACTTTGCTAGGTTCGTGTTTTTTGCGTGATCTTCCGAGACTGAACAGGGAAGTCGCAGCTGCCATATGAATTAATGTTTGCTTCCTTTGGGATCAATGGACTGTAATGGACGTAGCACGGGCCCTGTAAGCAGTACAAGACCATTTGTTTGCAGCTGCTATGAGCATTCTGGTGGCATGAGAGAGATGACAATGATGTCGCTCTGATGGAGAAAGACACCAACTCGGGCCGGCCGTTATGGGCTCAGGTAATATATCCGGTATACAGATACTTCCCGCTAGACATTCACCAAAGCTTTCTCGCGAGGCTTTTGAGAGACCGAGTCCCTACTTCGAAGCCGCAGCCGCACAGGCGCTGGCTGCAACAGTGGGCGGTATAGGGTTGAAAGGAATGACGGACGGCTCGCAGACAGAGAGACAGAAGCCGGAGTCTGACTCTGACACACGAGAATGCACCGCACTTCGGCCCAACATACAACAGCCATGATGCATGATCTGGTGGCTGAAAAGCATCGGAACACAGGACGAGAAGGAGTGCTTCGCAAGTTCGCAAGAGTTCCGCTTCAAAAGCATTGCAGGCGGAGCAGGCGGAGGCGGAGCCCAAACGTGACGGGCGGAAGGTCTCAAAAGCTACGCAGGCTGGGCCCCGAGTTTTGACAGTCATGCTTGGCACCTGCCATACGGTCGATGTGGGTTCTCTCGGTTTTCCGATACGGGATATGGATATGGATATAGTCTAGGAAGGCTTCGGTAGGTCATGGAACACCAGTGTACACCATGTCCAAAGAAAGCTAGATGTAGTGCTGAAGCCCTGCCGTGCTGGCAAAGGATTTGAGTTCACTCATGCCGAGCCGGAAGCAGAACGCTGCGCGACGGCCGCTCTTCTGCATGAGCGCCCGATGCTACCTTCTCGTGAGAAGATCTGCCCCGATTTTTCCCGGGTTGTTCTTGTGGAGCCTATCTTCTCGAGCGCAAACATGCGAGTCTCATTGAAGCCTTGAAGCCTCGTCTGTCTCCGGGGAGCTTATGGAGGTCGAGGGGTTGGCTTCATGGCATCTTTGTCGATGGCTGCCGCACAACTTGCCTCACAGCAGTGTGGGTCTTGTGCGGAACAGATGCGACCAAAGCAGTCTTCTAAAAACGGGCTTTGGCTGGAGATGCTTTGCAGGGAGCAGTACTCGCAGTAGTTTTCTGATTCGTCACATCCGGGGAGCACGTCAGATGGCGACCATTGGTGACTCACAGCGTGACCGGCCGTAGCAACTTCAAATATTTATGCTCTCTTTGTCTCTTGGCAGCGTCCAACACATGACCCTTTGCTCCCTCGACACCATCTCAGGCTCGACGACTGTGGCTCGTCACCATTGTCATTATTGTGTTGGTAGTCGTCAGTGTACATTGTACATTCAACCGTGAACGTATGCGAGCATCACTGATCCCCACCCACTGCCAGCGTTTTCGTTGCATTGTCACCATCACAATGAAACAAATCAGCAAAATTCCTTACGTGGTTCATAATCGTGATTTCAGCTTTAATACATAAGCTTTGCATCTTTAATGACATGTTTCTCTCACTATAAGTTTAGTAATGTTGCTACTTGTTCTCTTCCTCGGTCGTCGTCAGCATCGGCAGTGCAATCACCGGTGCTGTGATCTTTATCATCGGCGTCCCCATCATCACCATCACGGTGGTCGTTCCCTGCTCTGGTCTCCTCTCGCCCCGACATCATCACAACCATGGTGTGACCTGCCAAAGGAAGCCATATCTGCAGCGCTGCGCGGAACGAGCGGAACGTAGGTCCAAGCTGCTTCCAAACAAGGCCGGAGATGAGGTTGAGATTTACCGCTGCGGGATGCGGGATGTTCTTTCACACAAGAAGAGGGTCGTATGAGTCGGCTCTGGGCTTTCAGTCGCTTTAACTTGACAGAATCAATAATTGCACTTTCGGCTGGTGCAGAGCCCGTCGTTTCAGCTTCCGAAACTAGAGTCAGGGTCACCGCCCGTGCTGTTTTCTTGTTTCTGACGTGCTGCAGGTACAGCTAGCGAAACGGCTTCGAGGCATCTTGCCCACGGTTTGAGCTTGCAGCCAGATCATGACGCTGAGATACCACATGCTAAACCTGAGTCGCCCTAAGTGTGCCTTCCTCCTGGCTGGACAACAAACAGCCTTATGCTAAAGTATGCATCATTCTTGCTGAAAGATGCTGAAAGCCTAATTACACGTTTGTAGGACACCTACTTGCGATGTTAAATTTGTGTTCCTTGCCGCCGCTGCACTCAACCCATCCCTGTGAGAATCATACTCAGTTTGAACAGAGCCCTTTTTGCCAGAACCATGGGTTTGAGGCAAGGTTCCAAGGACAGACAAAGAAATCGGTTCTGAGATTGCCAAGCAATCGGAAGAAATGTGGTTCGAAGTCGGGGAGTCTTGGGTTGGTCTCGACTCCAGACGACTACTCGTCGCGAGACTTTTGTCGTTTGCTGAAACCACACCTCCCGAACTATGTGCTTTTGGGATGTGTGTGCGTGTGTGTGTGTGTGTTCGTTGTAGCCGTGTGCTTTCTACATTTCTACTGAAGAGTGCCGTTGTCGTGCATCATGTGATCTTTTGATCCGGATCTTATAGCACAACGAAATGGGACCCTTGCAGACTGACAACGCAGTCCAAGTGCGACAGCCTGTCGACAGCCTTTGTGCTTGAGATTTTCGTCTTCAGGTGTGGAGCTGTACACCCTCCTGGGTGTGGAGGTCTCCGAGGAGGCACTGCTTCCTTTCGGAGACAGGGTTTTCCTGAAACTGAAACTTCATTGTCTAGTCTTGACAAGATTCGAGGAGCATAGCTGTAGCACAGCAGTATGACCTAGCCCCGCAGGTATTCCCAACAGAGGAAGCGGTTCGCGAAGCATACAAGCGACATGGCTCGAAAGTTCCAGAACTGCTCCGCTTGACTCGGGCTTTCGCCGGGAGCCGGGAGACAGAGAAGTTGTCCCAGCGGTGGATGCACTTGTGACTCATGCACTTGCCGTTCTTGTCAACCTCCTGAGGAAGATGGTGCTGATCCACCATCCGGACAAGAATGCCAGCAAGAGTTTGGCTTTTCAGCTTATTCAGGAAGCTTACGAGCAGCTCGACCGAACTGGCAGAAAGCGCGCCTTGTGAAGCACTCCCGATCTAGCTTGTCACTTTCGATTCATGCCAACTCCTGTCAAAAGCCAGTCTGCTTGCATCGGCAGCTGGAACACAGTTGTGTATTCTCAGGTACATCTCGGACCGTGACAACAAGCAGGTCTACGATTCAACGCTGCCCTTCAACGACAACTTGCCGACGCAGGCTTCAACGTGATCTTCGGCATGTCCTTCGCGTTGTTAGACCGCGTGTTGCATAGCCGCCTGTGAAATGCTGGTCGGCTTCGGATCTTGAGGGAAGAGCTCCTGCGTGCCCGCCCTTCGAGCTGCCCCAAGCCAAGCTTAAAGCTCCATGACATGTCGAGTTTCTCATATGTTTCGGAAAAGGACCTCGCACACACGTGTGGGGCACGCCGTTCCAGAAGCTTTCTTGCGTCCGTTCCCCTGAAGAGGAGGACGTGAGCCGCTGCGGCTTTTTCCAAGCCCTGGCGCCGGCTTTCCGCAGGACGGAGCTTCCGGTGTCTCAAGTCTCCGGTAAGTGTATGTATGTGTGTGTGTGTGTGTGTGCGCGTGCGGTCATAAACATGTATAATTGGTTGCGGATCAGTCATGCTTGGCTCTTAAGCCGCCCTGCCATGTGCCTCTAAGTCTCCAAGTATAAACATGTTTCGAAGTACACACAATAAGCTAGAAGATACAAACCATCCTTTCAGTTTTTACTGGCTTAGCATTACTTGTTCGCATTTTGCAAAGGTTGTGAAGCTTAAGATTTGGAGCTAGGTGGTCCCTGGATGTTTCTGGCAGGGTCTTGGAACTCGGTGCAGATTTGTTTGACCCTCAGCTCGAGTTGCATCGCCCAGCCAGCAACACTTCCAAGATAGTTACAACAAAGTCCTTGAAGGAATGCCAAGTGGTCGGAGAGGCAGCCCGTACCCGACCTTGGTGGCCCTCATACGAGCCTGGTCAGAATGTTTCGCAGAAAAAACGACCATTTGACGAAGACATTATCCATGTTTCCGATATCCTCGCTACAGCAGCGGCAGACCTTTCACGTGTTCAAGCTCCAGCTTAATCGGACCGTCCATTCACTGTCGAACACCTAGTTTGCGCACGTTCGGTTCGCTTGCGACTTCGTCAACAGAGAAAAGACAGAGCGTTTGCATGGTTGCATGGCGGGTGCAGTTCTCGCGGCAAAATCTACCAATGCTCTCCTGCTCAGAATCTTCACGCGTAGGCTTAAGGAGCCCTGCAACGATCCGGTATATAATAGAGCTACAACTCTTTTGGTCTGCCGAGGCCTCTTGAGTCGGTGCACGCATTCTACAATTGGTGGCACCTTGGAGCCTGCTATAGCGGCACTTTCCGACATCTGCACCTGGGAGAGGCTATTACTTGACAGAGGAGTTTCTGACTGCTGCCAAGGTACCATTTTGAGTCGTGGAGAGATGTTGGGCCAAGGCCGAGCGGGCGTGCACCATGTTGGGTGTATGGTAGCCGATACTATTCAGCAACTGCTACTGTAAATCGTGCCACATGGCCTGGATCTTTGTTTGCGGACCTCGCAACACCAGTCCTGGAAGGTACCTCGAAAAGCATGGACTTCAACTGGAGGACCTGCAGTGCTGCCCCCGAGAAGAGCGAAGGGCACGGCAGAAGCAGCTCCCCGATCGGCAAGCTGCTTTTGTCAGGCTTCTTAGGGAAAGAAAAAGAAAGAGAGGCAGGCCCAGCCATTGCCTAGAACTTTACCGTCGATTCCCCGACTGAGCCTGATGCAGCAAGATCTTGCACGTAAAAAATATTCACCTGCCAAACTTCCCTAGGCCCTAGGCAGTTTGGGCAGTTTTCGCGGTGAGTTTGCAGAGCATTCGACTTGACACGGAGCCGGCATAGTCCATTTGTTCCAGCTCAAGGACGCATCGTTTCATGGCTCAGCCAGAGCATTGCTGTGTGCCAGCATGTGCCATTCAGCCAGTTCGATGTTTAATGGTACAAGCACAAGCCTGGTAGACATGTGGCTCCTGTTTGGCGTGCGGTGTATCCATCTGCCTCAGGAACGAGCAGATTCGCAAGCAGTTCGATGCTCATGAGAGGCTGCGGATCATGAGGTTGGTGGATCTGGCATGGCAAAATGACCCCAGGACACCACTCATTCTCCGAAGCTTCCCTTTTGCCAGTTCTCAGGGCATGTGCTACAACACACGGGATTGAGATGCACCGGCAGCAGCTTCTCTTCTCTGGTTTGCAGGATTGGGTGGGAAAAAGCGGAAGGGAAGCCCTCATCGACACAGCCCAAGAAGGTACGCAGCCCTACCCGAAAGAAGGCAGGTCGGGCGTTTTGAGTGCAGGAGCACGGCTTCTTGTTAGGTGCTGGGTTTGTCATGCGTTGTCTTGTCAGTTTCTTTCGCAGGTTAGCCTGAAGTCTTGATACGGCCTCAAAACCGTGACGGAATCTGGTGCGCTTTCTGGCACAGCAGCGGACAGAGAGTGAGATCTCCTGAAGTCAATGTGGACCCATAGAATAGCATGTTCATAAAACGCCGTTAACTACAGTAGTAAAAGTTGAATGACTTGCTGGGGTGGGTCTACAAAGACAGCCAGCGGCATCAGTGTGATGTCCAGGTTGCTGTGGATCCGCAAGCTCCTTGGGAGAAGGAGGCCTTGCAAATGTAGTCTCCGGCTTTTGCAAGGAACCGAAAATTGCTGCAATTGCTTGCTGTGGCCTGGTTACTGGGTGTCCCTGGGTGTTTTCGTTCTTTGCAGTTGGTAGTGGTGATGATGGTGAGTCTGATGGTGAGTGGTGCTGCTGGCTGGTGTGGCTGCTGCTGCGGACCTTTGAGCCTCGTAGAATCTTGTAGACTTGACGTTCGTTCTGCAGCTTTGCAGGCCATTTGTGGTGGATACTTCTGACATTCCTGGATCAGCGCAGGTCAAAACTCGGAATCACTGTTGCCACAGGCTCTTCTGAGATCTTGTGAGATGCAGAACTGTAAGAGAAGCTCCCCACGTTTCCCGAAAACCCTGCCGGGACCCAAAAGCCAGAACCAGGCCGAAGAGCTGCGAAGGCAGCGCGAGGAAGCCAAGAAGAAGGCGCCTGGATTCCTCGAATTTGGCCGTTGCTGTTTGCACTGACTGTATCTGGAAGCCCAACTCAGCAGCTTTGCAGGTTAATTGATTGGGGAGCGGGTTTCGCAGGTTTCCTGCATGTTATACCTGTGCGCACTATTTTTACCCGAAGAAGGGGACACACTTCTCTCCGAAGACCCGCTTGATGCCTTCTTGATGCCGCACTGTCGAGAACAACACCCTCACCGACTTTGCAAACACAAGGCGAAGGCTCTTATCAGTAGCATCCGTGCCGGGCGGCACTGGGAACTGAACGCAAGCCACAACATCGTGATGGATATGTTTTAGCCGCTGAGGTGTGAAGGAGAGTGCCAGCCTATCGCTTCATGATTCGTGGAAAGTTTAATCAAGTTTGCACTCGTTCTTCCCATGCTTGTTTGCTGTGTCAGAAGCGACCCCTCTGGCTCAGTTGACGCCTCGAGTGCGCCTCCTGCTTTGCGAACTACCCCCCCCCCTTCCCGAACCTGACTTTCGTCTTGGTTTAAATCACAATTGTTTGCACGCAATACCTTGGTAGAAGGCATATCTTACGTTTCTGGTTTTTGTTTGACTAACTTCAGTACTGATCACGTATAAATATAAACAAATTGAAGTCTCGTCAGCAGATGTCAGCAGAATATCGATGCTAACATGAGCAGCAAGCAGAATGTGAGCATGTAGTACCAGGGGCATGATAAGGAACTGAAATCGGAGCTTCCGTCTTTTGTGAAAAACCAGCTGCACGAACTCCTTTGTTTGTACTGAGAAGTAGTCCTAACTGACCATTAACTCCTCCACGTTTTGGAAATCAGATCAACCCTGCTGTCTCTGTTTTGGTTGCCACAAAGGGAGATGTTCAGGCAGCTCCTCGAAACGTGAAAAAACCGGTTAGATGAACCTTCCTATGTCCCATGTTGACGAATTTCACCTCTGAAGCGTTTGGTTACAGAATGTTACAGACATGAAATCATGCATACATACACGCTTAGAAGACCTTGTTAGTTGTCACAGCAAGCATCAGAGCTGACGTGACATGAGGCAAAGAGCCGGCGACAGACTTTGCGGAAGTTGGCACCTCGCCTTGTCTCGGGGCTCACGTGTAAGTATGGCTATAGGTGAAGTATACAGAATTTTGGCCCCCGGTCGCCTTGTTTCCCCAGCCATTCTTAGAGACTGAAGGGGATGTGCAGACAGACTTCAGAGCCAGCGCCGATAGTGCAGCACGGCTTGGGGATGCATGGGAAGTATACGTCTTTCTGCCATCATGGGAACAAAAGTCCCGACGCTTCTCCTCCGAAGCCCTCGAGGTGGAGTCCTTGGGGCTTCTGGTCAGTGGCGTGGAGCTTGAAAGGCTGCCCGCTAAGCATGATCATGACGCTGCTTTTTGTTTGCAAGGCAGGCTATGGCTATGTCGGAAGTGATCGGATGCAGATGGGTGGCTGGGTGAGTTCGCGGGTAGGTTCGGGTGTGAGTTATAACGAATAAATACCTTTAGCCTTGTGTCCCATGACAAAAGGTGGGAGGTTCTGGCTCCAGCCCTCCGTCGATGTGGCCCCCTGAATGTGGGCGGGTTTGTTCTTCGTTCTGATTCCCCCCCCCGCGCTCCGTACATGGATGTTTCGAAGCACCAGACAACCTATTCCTGTCACTGCTGGCACCATTGAGACATCACAAGGATATCAAGATCTGGACACGAAAACGACCAGCTGCGAGGATTCCAGGCGTTTCAGGCGGCATGGCAAGGTCGAGGCCCAAACTCGGCGACTGTGACACAGATTCTGAGAATGACGTGGCGACACCACTTCATAAATGGCTCACGAAGAGACTGGTTGCTGTTCTGCGCCGTGGATTGCCGCCACGGGCCGACGTTGTCTGGTTTTTGCGGTTTTCGTTCTCATTGATCTTCAGTGAGTATCCACATCGCTTGGTGGCGGGAATTTTGTTGAGCTGACAAGCATGGAAGCCTCCCAGAACGCATCCAATGCATCAGCTTCGACAAGGAGGTTGAAGAAGGACGCTAGTGTGATCATGGTTGACTTGAGACCCACGTGGCGCCGTCATGACGCTTTGATACGCTTTGATGGTGGTCACTGTCACAGGTGCCTGCGGATAGCTAATGCTAAGTAGTGATGCTGGTGACGATGAAATTGAGGTTGATGTGTCCGAGGGATCGTGATACAGAGAGGATGATTGCTGTCATCATGACGATGCTGATGATGGTGATGGCATTGTTTTCCCTGATCGGTAATGCTTGCACCCTACAGCTCCCAGCTAAGAGTTCGGAGAAGACAGGGTTCGCCAAAACACATGACAACTCAAATTTTCTGCGCGGTCTCTTCGGTGTTGTAGAGGCCTCCAACCGTCGTCTCAGATCCACGTTCGGTCTCAGCCTTTGCTGAACTTACTAACAGTGCCTCGCAGCAGGTATTGCCTGAAAGTCGAGGGCGATGCTGAGGAGTTGGAGGACTGATTCAGTTCAGCCACTAGGGCATGCATCTCCGGAGCTGGGAGAGGCTTTCGAAGACAACGCCAACAGTTCGCCGCAGAGCATCACCCTAAACCCAGGCATCCTCGAATGCTGAATGCTCATGTCTTTACCTTCCGCGAGAGTGCTCTCGGGGATGGCTTCAGGCCTTTGAAATCGACCATGGCCACACCCAGAACAGGTCGGGGCTCTGCTGAAAAACCCAAGCCCCTTGCCAAAGCCACGTGCGTTTCTCTTCTGACTATTCTGTAAGCCAGCCTCTGCATCGCTTCCCGAATGATGGAACCGATAATATGGTCAATTAACCCGTTTAGCCGTTTAGCCCTTATGAAACACTACCACGCGCTGCACGACTTGAGTTTGGAAGTTCTATGCTACAAGGAGCACTGAGAGCCCTTTTTGCAGGACTTGGCCTTCGAAGTCGAGCGCCTTGCAGCTTTGCCTCCCGAGGATGTTCTGGAAGAGCCTCGGCCCTTGTCCTCAGCGTTTGTGTCCGTGGCTGCATCTGTATGTGGGACTTGGAGCCTGAAAAATTCCAACCCAACCAAGGCCCCTTGGACAAAAGCCCGTAAGGGCATTTGGATGAAGCTGTGTATTCCATATGGAGAGGTCCGGCGTTGAGGTTTTGGGCCAGCGCGGTGTTTCCGACTGCTGAGGCTCAAAGGTATAACACAATGCTTCCCGTACATGTTGACGTTTGCACGACCAAAACAAGAACGATCCCGATTATGGACATTGGTCCAGGAGCAAGATTCGAACATCAGCCACAACTGGAGCGCAATTGTTACCTCAACTTGGGGCTAGTAGCCCCGAGCCCAGGAGCTCACAGAAACTGACGAGGACGAGGCCTTGACACTCTTGTCCTGCTGCAGCACGGGGGGGAGGGAGGAGGGAGGGAGGGAGGGAGGAGACTGGCATGAGGCAAGGAAGGGAGGGAAGCGTAAGGAGATGTTGAAGACGTACATATGCTAGGGAGCGCCAGAAGGAAGGGAAAAGATGCTTGGCTTGCTGGCATGCCGTGGGACTTGGCTGCGAGGCAAAGAAGCCGAAAGCCCAGGAAGAGGAAGCCGCCAATTGCATCCCGGTCAAGAGTCAGTTGCCATTTGTTTGCGGGACAGGTCACTGCCGGTAGTCCATGCCATGACATACATGCTCCAAGGTACAGCTAGCTGAGGCTGGCAGAGTTAAAGCATGGCTGGGGGCCGCTGCCTAACCAACTTATGCATCATCTGCCATCTACTTTACCACAACGTACAGTGCTGCTACTACCAGGTATTGTTGATGCTGCTGCTGTTGCTGCAGCCTACCTGTGCTGCTAAATCACAACAGGCACCATATTGGGTAGCGGTGTGTGCAGTAGATAGTCGTCGTCGCAGTCGTAGTCGTC